TTTGCTTGTGAATGTGATGAGTTCGTAGTGGTGCAAATATCAAGATGTTATATAATTTGCTTATGAATGTGATGAGTTAGTAGTGGTGCAGGTATCAGAAGTTTGCCATGTCTTTGGTTATTCTGCTCCCGCCAGTTTGTGTAAATTGAATTTTGAAAAGCATATCGCAAGACAAATAAGTGGAGCTTGTGTTGCGATGCATCAACCAACATGTCCATGATTCCTCTCTCCAGCTGATTTGAATAAGCTTGTAAGAGGTTGATGACCAAGTTTGCCCATATTATCTCAGGAAAACTGCAGGTGAAATAGAAGTGGTTCCGAATCTCTATATCACTTTGGCAGAACACGCAAGTAACCGTAGCTCTAGCATTCCACTTTTGCATACGATTACCTGTTGAAAATCGATTATGAATGGCCGGCCAAGAAAAAAAAAGCATATTTTGGTGTATATTATTATACAGGAACCAGATTCCTTTCAACCAATGTTTTATTGTGTTCAAAATATTTACTACTTTTAATTCAATAGTAATTATATTATCTTATGAATTTAGCCACTTTAGATTAAAATATTAAATTATTTTTTGTTTGAATAATTTATATATTTATGAGAATCCTTGTTAAGTAACTTATGTGATTTTCACCGTTTCTCACTTCAACTTTTGGATTGGATGAATTTAGAATTTTGGATCTTGTTTTACATGTTTGCACTTAGGTAAATATTTTGACATTGTAGCTAAACCTTTAGATCTTGCTATATTCTCATATTTTAGGCTGCATTTAATTTATTTTTTCCCTTGTTTTTGCATATCAGTTTAACATTTTAGTCTCATTTGCATCTAAAAATAACATTGCATGTGTTTAGTTTAGGATTGCATACATAAGCATACTTGTGGTGTTTTTCAGGTGTTTTTAGAGATTCTTGGAGTTTGGGGAGGAGATGGAAGCAGCTCATGTTCGAAGAGATGCCAAAGAAGGAGTTTTGTAAAGTTTGGTCCCATATTAAGGAGAAGCATCAAGCAAAACCTCTGTGGAGTATGCCCGATGCAAGCTGCGATGCGTGAAGAAGAGGACTGGTTCGTGGAGTCTAAGGCACTGCCTACATCGAGGTGCTGCATCGAGCAGAGAAAACTGCACAGGCCGATACGTGCTTACACGGACCATATCAGGGTGGTGCATCGAGCTAAGCACCGTCCCGATATGCTTTATTCGCGTGTTTGACCAGATTTTCGTTGACCTTATCTTGTTTTTAGGTCTTTTATCCTTCTTTTGGTCCCTACTATAAAAGGAAAGTCACAAAACATTATTTGTTATGCATTATATGTTCTAAACCTTATCTTATCTTGTTCTTCACAAAAAAAGGTGATTTGCCTAAAGTTTATAAACACTTTTATTTTTCAATCAAGTCTTGCATTTTATGTTCTAATATTGTCTCTTGATCTTTGATTTTCGCATCTGGTAGCTTAGTTTCATCATCTTTGCATTTAATCTCATCTAATTATGTTTATCTCTAATTAAATGGGATTAAACATGACTAGTGAATATATTATTTTAGATTTGAGGTTCTAAGTAGGGAAAGTGGTATTCAAGATGTGATTAGGGGTGATTATGCTTGATTAGTTTGTTTTCTATTGTTTTCTTCTCTTGAAAGTGATTATTGTTCATAAAGTTTCTCCCTTTTGATTGAATATGGTATTGTTGATGTATATAATTCACTTAATGGCTTGAAGTCTAGTTCGTGGCATGATTCGCTTATTTGGTTTGATAGTCTAGCTTGGTTTATGTTTCTTTTGTTCAGTGACACCAAAGTGATAGTTTACCTTGCTAGGTGATTCACTTAGGGCTAGATAGTGCTTGTTTTAAGACTCTTTCTTGATGGTTAGATAATTTGCATTGAAAGAACATGCTTTTATTTGAATCATGTTCATTGCTTAGCATTGTTAGGTTTCGCAATTGTGAGCTTGAATATATGTTCTTGATTGGTTGAGTTAGCTACTTAGGTCCCTATATGCTTCAAAAGATTGATAAGTTGATCTGAATTCTTGCTTGGGTGAGTGAAGTTTACTTGATTAGTACTTCTTTTAGACTTTATGGTTTTGTGCTTTATGCTCATAGTTAGAGAATACACCATCAAAAGTGGGTTTGACACTCTAGTCTTGTTGAATTGGATTTGCTTATTAACCACTAAGAAGATCTTTCCTTAGATACCTTGCTTAGGATTGCAATATTGAGAATTTGTTTGCTTATAATGTGCTTGATGATTGCCTTGTTTAGTAAATCCCCTACTCTCTATTGATACCACTTAACCATTACTGCTTAAGAACTTGGATCTTGCTCTTTATTATTTACCTAATTCCGCATTCTTGCTTAGTTGTCTTTGCTTGCTTATTTTCATTCCAGCATTTATTTTGTTTAGTTTATTGCTCAGTACTTGCTTAAGTTTTATTTTGCTTAGTCTTTTTGCATTTCTGTTTTCTCTTTCTTGCATTGCTAGGTTGTTAATTAAACTTGTTCTTGCATAATCAAATTCTAATCTTGCTTAGCTTATGACATTATTTGCATCTCATCAATCTAGGAGTGATTGATACATGATCACTATTTTACAATTGATGAAGACTAAGAATATTTGGTTCTAGACCACATAAAAAAAGTCTGTTTCATAGACTTGAAATTATCGACTTGAGGATTTACGCCCTAATAATTATTCACTATAGGGTTATCATATATTATTGGCGGTTAGTAATATTGGGCAATTTCCATAATTACACTGAAAATAAGTTTTCAAGACAAATATAACATGGAAGCTACAAAAAATTTCCAACCCTAGTATTTTTCATTTGAGTTTTCCGATTTTACCCTTTAGGAAAGTCTTCCTAAATGTTTTTTTCTGTTAATGTTTCGTGATTTTTTTAGGAAGGTTTTCCAGATACTATAATTTAACATCGTTTCATATGGTTTAGGAAAGCTTTCCAAATTTTTAAAAATTTTCCTAAATTGTGGAAGAGCTTCCTGAATTGTGGAAGGGTTTCCTGAATTGTGGAAAGACTTCTTGAATTTGAGTTGTATAAATTAACAAAAATAATAATCAATTATACGATTTACGAAGGCATTCCTAAATATATATAATAACTTTCTTAATTTATACATTTTAGGAAAGTCTTCCTAAAACCTTAGAATATCTTCCTAAATTTACGAGCATCTCCTTCTTCACCTCTGCGACATCCAAACCCTAATTTTCACCGATTTCTTTTTCTTCACCATTGTTGTTGTTTTAGCTCGGATTTCTTGAGTTTTTTACCCAATTATATTAGATCTATCTATCATTATATGATTTTGAGCTTTAAATTCTGAAATCACTTTCCCATAAAAAAAACCCCTAAAATCTAAAAGATTCACAATCACAAATCACAATCAAATGACAAGAGTGATTATAAAAAAAAAAAAATGATTTGATTTCAGATCAATCTTGGTAATTGATACATTTGTTTGTACATTATTTTTTTCTCTTTTATTAACTAATGTTTTGTTTAATTAAGATTAATATGGTACAAAATGTTATGGAATGAATTTTTTAGAGTGTTGTGTATATGCGGAACAAAAACTTAGGCTTTAACTGGTGACTAATAAAAAAGGAACATGAATGAAAAAGAAAAGAATGAAAGGAACAGAAAAAAAAGAATGAATAGGAATAAAAAATATATAAGGAAGTAAATAAATATATTTTGTTCCTCTCTAATTTTAATAAAGAATACATTTGTTCTATAATTCCTTATATGATAAGGAATAAGAAAGAATGATAGGGAAATATTATTACTAACAAATGGTAAAAATTTTAAAGAATGAAAATGAATTCATTATTCCTCCTCATTCTTTTGATCACCAGTTGAAGCCTTAGATTATGTGCATTTTGAAGGAATTTCTCAGTAATATTCTGTTATCGTAATATTCACTCTAAAAAACCCATTAACAAAAAAAAATATCCTTTCTAAATGTTTTGCCAAATGCGATTTTAATCACCTGTGACTACTCGTATACGCCTTCAATAGCCAGAAAAAAAGCCCAGATTTTTTATGTGCATCGGGGAATTAATCGTTGGAAGAGGTAGGATGATTGAAACGCCACATTAGTGAGAGGGATCGCGGTAACAAAGTGCAATATTTTTCTGTTGTATACACAAAAAAACAAAGAAATCGTGAATAATATGACAATTTCCGTTCATTGTACCAAAGCGCAATATTTCCTTATGTTTTCTGTAGAAAAATGGAATATTTCTTTTTATTCTGTAAAAAATGATAAATTTCGTGCTGTAAAAAATGGTATATTTCGGTTTTTTTCTGTATGAAAAATTGGAAGACTACCAAATTTCCATCTTTAATTAAAGCACCCGATCTCAATTTTCCCTTTTTAAAACTTTTGGTTGATCTTTTATCTTTTATTTAAATCTTTCCATCTTTTATTAAAGCAACCGATCTTAATTTTCCATTTTTACAAAATTTTTGCTTCTTATTCCCATTCATTTTTTTTTTTTTTTTTTAAATCATAGATTCGAGTTTATGAATTTTGTCTTCTGGGTAGTTAAGATGCTAATGGTTTTTCATAATGTGGTGCGATTAGCCGGTGAATGATAATATGATTTCATATATTTATTAAAAGTCAACTCCTATTATTGTGGACAGCATTTTTTGTCATGTATTTACTTCTTTTTTTTTACTGCTTTTGCCACGTATATACTACGATAATAAATGACGAGTATATAATGAGGTCAAATAAAACGAATGAACTTCAAATTAGTAATTGGATCATCAGATGAGCGTTTCTTATCTTTAACTGTTTTTCCGTCAAAGGCAAAAGAAGATTTGAGCTAAAAAAGGAAGTTACCAAAAAATACGTTACAACTGTATTAACATTTTTTTTCCATCGTCCATCTCTCTCACTCAACACACCCAAAAAAAAAAAAAACGTCTCTCTGTCTTCCTCTCTCTCTCCCCGTCTCTCCGCCGTGGATGGCAACACAAGGGGTGGCTAAGCCATCGGCGAAGAAACGTAGCTTCCTCCTCCGTGATATCTTCAAACTTTGCCGATCAATCTCAAGCTTTTCGCCCAGTGACAAGCCTAATCATATTCATAAGGCTAATAAACACGAACGAAACCCTCACGCCGAACCCAAACGCCATGAAGAACACAACAAACGCAACGTCCATAATGGTCCAAACGCCTCTAATTTCCAGGTAACTAATGATATTACAATTTTAAAATCACAACAATAACCATAGATTTTGCAGGGCCGTCTTTTAGCAATCGAACAGACTCCCGGATTAAAAAACAAAACAAAATCTTTAGAGTATTTCAACAAAATATATGAATTGGAGCCTCATTTTTTTCAATTTCTTTTTTATCTTATGAATCTACCCGTAATACAATATTTGACTTAGAAATTGTTTGAGAGGGGATAGATGATGGAGCATGAACTCAATCTCTGGCTATGACCTACATGGTGATGAAAACAATCTGTTTTTGATTTTTTCATTGTTAAAGAACTCGATATTGATTCATACTACTGACATATTGGTAATATTTTCGCAGGAAGACACGGCTAATAATGTTGAAGGTGTGAGTCTTTGCAAGGTTCGTAGCTATAGATTCGACAACGTTAGGTTCGGGGGGAGCAAGAAACCAACATCTCTTTCAAGAAGTTGCAGCCAGAACACGGCTACAGCCGCCTCCTCGACAGCCACGATGAATTTGAATCCGTCAATGCGGGGTTTATCCTTTATGAATAGGAGCAAAAGCAGCAACAACAGGACTGATTCGGCTAGATTTATGCCAACACTTATGAGATCGACCACCACGGTTCCAAGGGGCTTAGCAAACCCAATCCTGTACTCGAGCTCATCTGCAAACGTGGCTAAACCTCCTCCAACGGTGAAGAAACTAAGATGCACGCTCGAGGAGCTATGCAACGGATGCACCAAGAAGATCAAGATCAAGAGAGATATCATTACAACTTCAGGGTTTGTTTTCTTTATACCAAAGACTGCGAGTCTCTCACCCAAAGGCTCTCAAATGTGAACAAAAAAATCTCTCAAGTTTCTGAGATACCCGTCAGATAAACTATTAATTTTTTTGGTGTTCATACTTTGAGAGACTTTGGTGAGAGACGCCCAATGAAAATGATCTTAAGAGTCTCGAAAAAATGACTAATTACTAAGCATTTTGTTGCGTAGGCAAATGAGCCAGGAGGAGGAGACGGTGGAGATCAAAGTGTATCCGGGATGGAAAGAAGGAACGAAAGTAACATTCAACAAGAAAGGAAACGAAGCAATGGGGAGTGGACCGGCTGATTTGACATTCATGATAATCGAGAAAGAGCATGATGTGTTTAAAAGAGAAGGAGATGATCTTGAAATGGAGGTTGAAGTCTCTCTAGTCGAAGCTTTAACGGGCTGCGAGCTCTCTATTGATTTACCTGACGGCGAAAACATGATATTGAAGATAGAAGATATCATTGAACCTGGATATGTTACTGTGGTTCAAGGCAAAGGTATGCCAATCCTAAAGGAGAAATGGAAGAAGAGAGGAGATTTGAGAGTTCGGTTTCGGACTAAGTTCCCACAACAACTTACAGATGATCAAAGGGCAGAGATTCAGAGCATTCTTCAAGATTCTTTTTGATTGATTTGCTATACAATCTTTCTTTCCCATTTTTTTTTGTTCAAGGGAGCTTTGACAACATGGTTAGATAAAAATTCATCCTTGTTTGTAAAACAAACCAAGTTGAAATGAAGAAACCGGTTTCTATATCAAACTGAAAATCTCAAATCTGTTTATTTATCTACTTATAATCAAATATTCATCAACACCAAAACATGTATCATTAACCACCTAATGCGTCGTCCTCTGTCTTTACTTTTTAAGATAAACCTAAGGTGGTTAAGTGTTCATCAAGAATAAAGACAATTACACTTTGGTTCTCAAAAAATCTATAAGAAGCAATGTTGATCAAGAATAAGGACAAGAACACTTTGGTTCTCAAAGACTTCTAGAACAAGTTACTGCAATTTTCTCTTCATGTCTGATTCCATAATTAACAATGCCTAAATACACAGATTGTGTTTAAAGGACACTTTAGTGGAAAAGAGAGTATGAAAATGGGTGGAGTGACCAGAATGTTCAGAATAGAGATTTGATCTCTAGGATAAAGAAGGGCTAAGTGTTTATAAAGTATTTAGAGAAAGAGAGAGAGAACAAAGCTTGATTCTAAAGAGAGAAGATATGAGAAGGGAAGAGAGAGAGAGAGAGAGAAGGGTAGAAAGCATCTTGAGAGAGAAGTAAAAATAATCAAACTGAAAATCACAACTCTGTTAATTTATGGAATTCCAATCAAATAATTATCAACATTCAAAACATATATGTATCTTTAACAACAACAAAGTTCAATATCCAAAAACCAACAAAATAAGATACATATGGGATGTGTCTTCCTCTGTCTTTAGCCTTTTAAGCTATACCTATAAGGACTTTGAATAATTCCACAAAATTGCTGTTGACAAGTGCCTTCAACAATCTAATCTTTCCTCTTGAGTATGGTGGATACCTGATTGATGAATCACCTAAAAAGCTCTTGTAGAGAACAGCCTTCTTGTGACTAAAAGCATCAAATGAGAATTTACCATGGTAACAACCCATTCCACTTTCACCAACTCCTCCAAATGGCAATGTGTGAAGTGCAAGCTGCAAATATAGGATTAGAGAGCTTTAGTCTAATGATAAGTTAATTTGGAGATAGATTAGATATAACTAGTGATTTGTTTTACATGAACAGCTATGTCGTTGACCACTATGCCTCCAGCAGAAACTGTCGTGGCAAATCTCTCTTTCAGCTTCTGGTTTTGAGTAAACAGATATGCAGCAAGTGGCTTAGGTCGAGAACGGATCACATCAAAACTCTCTTCCAAGTTGTTGAGCTGTGCAGACCAAAAGAGATTGTTAAATTTGTCACACATTAAAGAAGGTCAAATGGTACATACCGTGAGGATTGGGAGGAGAGGGCCAAATATTTCTTCACTCATGATCAGAGAATCTAATGGAACATCAAGCAAGATTGTTGGAGCAATGTTCCTAAAGGGTAGAGACAAAAGATTAGTAAAACGCAATTGCTGTTAATGAGAAGATTAAAACAGAGGAACTCACAGGTTTTCTTTGTTCTTTTGACCACCATAGACGATTTTCTCAGAAACTTCCTTCTCCTCTAACATCTTAGACAAACGATCAAAGTGATTTGAGTTCACAATACGTGACATATCTTTAGACTCCATAGGGTTCTTCCCGTAAAACGCCTCCAATTCATGCTTCAGAGCGTCAATCTTGAGAAGAGAAAAAAATGTCAAATATAAAAAAAGTGCATCAAGAATCTACCTTGAAGTTTCTTTAACCTTACCAGTTTTGGAGCATATTCTTTTGTCGTCAGGATGTAATCCGGAGAAATGCACGCTTGTCCATTGTTACAACCCCATTTGCCTACGATTATCCGCTTGGCTGTAATCTTCATAGACAAAAGAATACATAGCCTCAGTACAAACAATGGATGAAGAATTCTATGGGATGAAACTAGAACAGAGTATTTTCGTACTTTCAAATTGGTATCAGAGTCTATAACAACAGGAGATTTTCCTCCAAGCTCAAGAACAACCGGTGTGAGATGCTTTGCGGCTGCCATCATTATGATACGCCCGATTCTCGAACTACCTAACCAAGCAAGAGTGTGTTTTATATTAGCATCATCACTCAACAAATGCTGATCTCATGTTTGAAGAATAAACTTCGAAAGAAGAAAAACCTGTGTAGAATATTTTGTCCCACTTCTGCTCAAGCAGCAGAGTTGTTTCACTCACAGCACCTTCTACAACTCTTACAGCAGAAGAGTCTAGATACTGTTCCAATAACTTTGCGAGCAGAGAAGACGAAGCTGGAGCCAGTTCTGATGGCTTCAACACAACAGCATTCCCAGCAGAAATTGCACCAACAACAGGATCAAGAGACAACACTTAGAGTAACAAACCAGAAATAGTTAAAACGGGGTCAGAAACGGATAATGTTTAGATGGAAATTTTAACCGATCAGTGATATTTAAACATACGGAAGGGATAGTTCCAAGCTGAGATTACAAGCACAACTCCAAGAGGCTCAGACACAATTTCAGCTGATGCAGGAAACGTTGTTAGAGAAGTCTTTGCCTGAAAGAAGAAACAGAGTAATGATTTGTGAGCTTAACATATTTGAAAACAAACTCTGCATATAAGATAAGGGTCGATTCCCATCAAATGATGAATTATCTATCTAACAATTCCCATTTGGCCAATCACAATGGTCTCATGCTTTACAACGGTGAAAGAATTAGTCGGGTGGTAAAAATCTGGATCACTTTATAGTTATCCAAAAACAAAAACTTATATTCAAAAGCTCACCTTATCTGGTGACATCCAGTCTTTTAGCTGCTTAAGAGCTAACTTGATCGAGTTTCTCAGTAAAGCTACCTGCATAATTACTTAATCATCATAATCAAATTTACTGCTAGTAAACCTAAAGGGCGCTTGATAATTAATTAAATATTGACTTTATACACAAATGTTAAAAGGAAAAAAGAAGAGTTAGTTTACATAAATTCCTACCAAACCACTCTCACATGCCTAAGAATTGACAAGAATAGAAATCTACCGAACGCTCTGACAATTTCTGTTGGCAAACATTAAATGAGAAAGGTCAATTTCGAAAGCTCTGTGTTGGTCTGTAACAAATACTAGTACTTTATTACACAAAGTTAAGGAACAAAACGTGGAATTACAGGCTGGTCTCGCAGTACAACATTAAATGCGCATTGCTTTTTTAAGAGGACCCATTGTTATTATAGTATTGGTTCCCACAAAGGTCACAAACATAAAGTTACCTGCAATCTAAGTTTTGATCCTACAACACAGGAAAAAGAAGTGTAGCATTCAAGTCAGTGTTACTGTTTGAACATGTGTCGAACCAGAACATCATGGTCACACAACTAGGTGATATGATAGCCATAAATAACACCGACCACAAGTAGGAGAATAAGCTAAATAAGATTTTACAGTCCTAATTTTTTTTCAAAAAAAAAAAAACACAACACCACATAATGTCAGACTCACACCAATTCAATTTTTTTTAATAATCGTGTGCATTCTAAGCCGAAACTCAGAGTAAATCCACTAGAAGTATAGAAATTCGAGTTTTCTTACAACTAAAAGCATCTACGAATTGAAATCGCAGTAGAAGAACTCGAACCGTGGTCTATATCCAGAGGACGAATCCTAACAACCACTAGACCACCACGAGATGGTCAACTCAAAACCAATTCAGATAATCGAAATCTCTAATTTGAAGTTCAAGATTTCGAAAACTAAATTCAAAATGATAAAGCACCATATGACATTTGATTATCGATTTCAAAACTAGAACAAACGGCGATATTAAGTATAAAGGGGGAAAAAAGCGTTTGACCTCGTAGACTGAGGATTCGAGCTCAGGTTTACCGAGATCGTCTTGGAGAGCAGAGACGATCTCAGGCTCGTGGTTATCGCAGATGATGAGAAGTTTCTTAAGCTGAGTGATTCTCCACTCGTAGCCGCGAGTTACTCCGGCGTCAAAGCTCCGACGAAGCTCCGTCACTAAATTGCTCGCATCCGCCGCTTGAAAAACCTTCGCCATTTTAGAATCGGAAGGAGACGTTACGTAATCAAACACCAGTAGTCACCGGAGAGAGAGAGGGCGATAGAGAGAGAGAGAGAAGAACAACTATTGAGTTCGGATCCCGAAAAAAGCTGAAGTGATTTTTGTTGAATCGATGTATATATAAATAAATATTTGTTTGTAGATTTTACAGTACAAGCTTGACGACAATTCTCTTTATAATTTAATTAAAAAAAGCATGCATTTTGTTTTTTTCTTTTTTGAAAAAAGACATTCTCTTTATTTATGATTTAAACATTAAAATAGAAAGAAAAAACAAGAAATAATAAAGAAGCAGAGACGTTACAAAATATATACTTTCTTTTTAATTAAAAAGCATGCATTGTCAGTATATTTTTATGATTTTGTAAAGAAGGAGAGACGTTATAAAAGAAAGATACATAATATAAAAACATAAAAGGAAGATATACTATGTAATAAAAATATAGTATATTTTACAAAGGAAAGATATATGATATATAACGTTTGTGCGTGTACGCATGAATGGATGATAGACAGACAGACGAGAAGAGAAAGGCGTGTGGGTCATACTCGCGGAGCATAAGCAAACTCACAACTCACGTGTGATCGCGTTTGTTGCACGTCCACTATGAGCGCGTGTGATTTTTGTGTTCGGTGAGAGGGGTTAGGATTTTGATATCTTTTTGGATAATTAGGCGGGACTCTGCTCCTAAGGGTGGGTAAGGTTGAGCTAACTGCTTTATAGGTTTCTTTTCGGTTCGGATTGTTTAGTATAAGTGGAATAAATGTGGTTAATGGGGAACCATAGAGAAACGGTACAGATCAGTAAAACTGAGGCAAACTAGTGGTTTGTTATCACTTGCATTTAGGGCTGGCTCAAGTATTTTATAGATCATTAGGGCAAAATTTAAAAATCGACCCCTAAAATCATTAAATTA